TGTAACAATCATCAGAAGACAGGGTGGGATTAATGGTGAGAGGAGAAGAGACAGAGCCAGACACTGCTCTGGCCACCACACCACGGAGACGCCACCTCGATGCTCCATATGGAAAGGAGGGCGCACCTAACAATACAAGGGGGACTGCAGCGTCAGTGTCTTATGGGTACAAAGAGGAAGACAATGACTTATTCTTATCTGAGCAGCTGTTGTAGTGGGGCCCCAGCTGCGTGGCTCCCTGTGCCAACGGGAAATGGAAAACACTATAATAGGCTCTCTTGTCTTCATTCCCTTTTCCTAGATGAGCTTTTTCCCACTGGAGCATTAGAGCAAGGCTTTCTCCCCCCTTCTGGTATTCTTACAGCAGCCTGATTGAAGGGGGGATTGGGTAGGCTCTGACCCAAGAAAATTCCCTTTACAGGGTCTGTCCTGAGGCCAGAAAGTCCATCACGACAGATTCAACACTCTGGCTTTAAGACTTCATATACAAATAAAATAGAAATAGCATCTCTGCAACTTATCACACCTTCTCAGGCACATCACACATCATCGATACACATACCGTGGTGAGTTTACCATATTCTCTCCAGAGAACACAACTGGAGGGACAATAAGTGTGAAAGGTTTGGCTAGAGTAATAGCTGGGAGGAGACACATAGACTTGGTCAATTTCCCCTTGTCACTTACACAATGGCAATGATGATACCAACAAGGGTGATGCCCACTCACTGTATGTGATCTCTTGTTATCCTCTCAACAATACTATTTATAAACCCCATCCTACAAAATGAGGAAACTGTGTTACAGGGGAATATGCAACTTGCCCAAGGTCACAAAGCTAGTAAGCGGATGAGCAAAGTCTGTGTACTTAACCTCTGCGCCCTACTGGGTCCTCCGAGAAAGGAGCAGTGTGGGGTTTCTCTTTCACGCATCTCTGAAACCTGACCACTCATGGTAGACTTAGCTGGGTGTCATGACCAAAACCTCTTAGGTCTTTTGTTTCCAAAACAAAAATGATGGCGGCCAAGGGACAGTGGCACCAGCAAAATTTTTTCCTGCTGTTTGTTATCTGGAACCTGGCCTTTCTGTCATGAGACCTGTGTTCTCCAGTCTATCTGCAAACGAACAAAACAGCTGGAATCACAGTCTTCGGAGTAAAACCTCAGAAGGGTCTTAAACACTCAATATGCATCGTCCCCGAGTTCTTGTTCATCGCTGTTAGGAGTCCTCTGAGGAGCCAAATAGATCTTCCACATACACATTCCAGAAGTGCCCCAGCTCCGGCCCCTATGCTTTGCCTGGAAAAATCCTTCTTATCCTTCAAGGCCCAGCTCAAATGTCACCTCCTTTATGAAGTCCTTCCCGGCCCCACAGGCAGAATTCGTTGATCCTCCTCTGTGCTCCCAATGGCACTTTCTGCCAGCACCGCTAGGATAGGGCTTACCACACTGTTTTACTTAGTTGCGTCAGTAAGGTCCTTGAGGTCAGAGACCTGTCTTAGTCATAAATCCTTTTATCCTGCTCTCCCCAGCCTAGCACATGCCATATTTCATCAAATCTAAAACCTTATTGATTGTAAGATATACCGTCATTTTATGAACCACTAAGAAAGATTCTTAAAAACTGACAATTATATTACAATATGCCATTGATTCGAAGACATGTCCCAAATTCAGGGATGTCAAAATGTTAAAAAAGGGAAAAAAAAAAGTAGGTTTCAGAAGTGATGAATGATGGTAGTAAGTGCTTAGCAAATGTTTCTAGAACTGGACTGTGAACCCAAGGTGGAACAGATAATCCTAGGGCCCTGTGACAGCCCATGCTTCTTAGTAAGGAAGGAATTGGGAGTTGGTAGGGAATGGTTTGCAATTGCATTGCTGATTTCAAATATTTAATCCAACAGATTAAAGGGATGAGTGGCCTGATTGCTAGTCCCACTAAAAACAAAAACAAAAAACAAAAACAAAAAAAACCACTTCCACAGCTCCTATTTGATATATTAGAAGGTTCAGTGACAATATATTCTTTAAAAAAAGAAAAGATTTATTTATTTGAGAGAGAATGACAGAGAGGGAGTTGGGGGGCGGACAGAGGGAGACAGAGAGAGAAGGATCCCAAGCAGATTTCGTGCCAAGTGCAGAGCCCCATGCAGGGCTCGATCCCATGCCCCTGAGATCACAATCTGAGCCAAAACCAAGAGTCAGACACTTAACTGACTTGTGCCACCCAGGCATCAGTGACAATATATTCTAATCAGAGTTGGGGGCCACCTAATATAACAAATGTGATTACGGCAACGATGGGACAGAGTATTTGTGTCTGCCTTGAGTCTGCCTCTTTAAGCCATGTCAAGCCAGTGCTGTTCACATCTGCCCATGAAGAACAGTAACTGCCCAGTTTTCTCCCCGCTCATCATAGCCCTGCTTTAAAAAATAAAAGCATTGGGGGGGTGGGGGTACCTGGCTGGCTCAGTCAGTACAGCATGTGACTCTTGGTCTCAGGGTTGTAAGTTTGAGCCCCACGTTGTGTGTAGAGATGACTTAAAATCTTAAAAAAAAAAAAAGAACTAAAAAAAAGCATCAAAAGATGTGACCTCTTCCCAGCTCCAAACTGTTGGTTCTGTGAATGTTGCTTCCATTTCTCCTTGGCCCTCTGGACCTGTTGATTATATATCTCTCCCTGGTCAGTGTCTGGACCTATGATTTTCAAAGGGTCTTTCTGTAGGGCAGGCCTTACTGGGGCTCAGCAGCCCAGGCTGTCTCACCAAGAATCTGTGATCTAATGGTGCCTGGGTCGCAAAGGCGGTTAGGCACCCCACCCTTGGTGTCGGCTCAGGCTGTGATCTCAGCGTCATGAGATTGAGGCCCGTGTGGGGCCCTAGCTTAGCACAGAATCTGCTTAAGTTTCTCTCCCTCTCTCTCTGCCCCTCCCTGCCTCTAAAATAAATAAATCTTTGAAGAAAAAAGAATCTGTGTTCTAACTCCATCCAAAAAATACACCTCCTCTCACAGATGGATGAAGCCATGCACTTATCTTTTCTAGACACACTCCTTCCCTGCCCCCTAAGCACACATAACACACATACACACTCATGCAATATAAACCAGCTTGTCACTGAAGACTTTAGATGTGTAGTTGGTTGACGGAAATTCTCCTGGAGCAAAGACTCCTTTTTGAAAATTGTAGTCTACTCAGAAAATTGAGCCTAGTGGCTTAACACAATTTGTGCAATATTTTAAACATGTAAGCGGCTCTGTACACTAGCAGTCAAGGACGGAGAGTCTTTTTGGGGCAAGGACAAAGGGCTACCTTTGAAGGGGATGGTGAGGAAGAGAGCGAAACAGGCACATTGTTCCTAGTTTGCTTTTGTGCCTAGACCCTTGGTGGGAAGCCAGGGACCACCAGAAACCCGAAGGCCATCTTCCCTTTTCCACAGGCTGCCAGCACCCAGGTTAGGCTATCAGGGCCCAGCCAGAAGGCACCAAGGATTACTATCTTCCAATTTAGTCTGATCTTCCCAGGCTGGAAACACCCTGCTCAGCCTGTATGTCAGCATAGTCGGCCTCCCTTCAATGGCTTCCCTGACCTTAGGGAATAAAGGAAACAAGAGAAAGGAGAACAAATGACCTCATTTGTTTCCTCTCCTGATTTATTATTGACATGGTATTTGGGGGTGTTCAGAGTACAAAAAAAAAAGAGCCTCTGTATATTTCCTTTGAAAGGGGAGAAGTCTGCAGAGAAGTTCCCCCAAGTATTAGAACCAAATGCATCCAATACCATAGGAATTCTACTTCACAGGTACAGTTAGACCAACAAATCAAACCACTGAAAACATCAGAATGGAACAGAATTTGGATGATAGATGCACTCCCTCATTTTACAGATGAGGAATTTTAGGCCTGGAAGGTTAATTAGCTAGTTAATGGCAAAACAGGTCCTAGAACTCGTGTCTGGACTCCCAGTTTGGGGATTTCCCATTAGGGAAGACACCTAAGGCCTTACAATTGTAGCTGTAATTACATTTGGCTCATTGGACTTAAAAATACCATGCAAACAGAACTATTACAAGAGGTCTTGATGATTGAGACAAACAAATGCACAGACTCAATGGGCCTAACATCTCCACCAAAGGACCGAAGCAGGACATTTGTATTCTCTGCAAGTACAAAATTGTCATTGCCCCGGCCCCTGACAGGACCGGATTCCCAGACAAACCAAGCCAGCTGGCCAACGGCTTACCTAGGTGACATCTTATACCTTTCACCCCAGTCGGGGGCCAGCTGGTGACATAAACCAGGCAGGAAGCTGGTTTAGTTTTCCTTGGTGGAATTTGGGAAGAACTGTGTCAACAACGCCCCTTGCTGGCCAACACGAGAAAATGCAGAAGCTACTGCGGACAAAATCAGGGCTCTGGCAAAGGTCACAGCCGTGTCCCTTAAGTCGTCTCGCAGTCTATGGGAACCTTGGCCAGGTCAAGGGAGAAAGCATGGGGAAAACAGCAGGGGGTGGGGAAGCTGCATTTTTTCCGGAGATGTTTATATGTGGCTAATTAAGGTTGAATCTCAAAGAAAGCAGATACATTTTTAGGGTCCCATTGAGTCTGAACAGGCAGCTATAAGACCCAGAGACGCATGTTATGCTTATACACACAAACAAGATTTTTATTGTTAACATCAACCAACACAGATGGAAGAATATTCACGTGCCAAGGACATATTGCTCACAAGATCACAAAATGGCTGTTGATTTGTATTCATAAATGATTTGGTGAGTCACTACATGTCTTTGAGTGAAGTAGATATATATAAAAAAGAAATTTCTGAAGCTTCATTTCCATTTGGACTCTTGTAATACCGTCATGAGAAAGAGAAAACAGAAGCTATGAAAGTAAGGCTTACACACTTTCACGGATAGCCCGATTCCACCCAAATGAACAACTACCTCCCACCACCCACATTTTAAGTAGCACACAAAGAAAGCACAACAAACACTGATTTGGCTCCATGATTTGCCTCATGAAAGGCTTTTTTTTTTTAATTTTTTGAGTTTTAAAAAAAATCCTCCGTCAAGCTGTCCAGGGTACTTGATGACGTCACAGAAGCGAAGTGTTTCCTAAGCAACTCTAGGGCCCTGTTGTTTCTGGCTTGCAGGGTTTTCTCGGCTCTCAGCTCGTTCTTGATGGCGTCCAGCTCCCCGCGGATCTTTTCCATCTCTAGCTCATAGTACAGTTTCATCTCTTCCTTCAGGAGTGCGTTTCCGATCTCGGTCTGCCGCTTGAGTTTCCTAACGGCCTCTTTCAAATCTCGGTTCTCTAGGCTCAGCCTGTGGATGAGTTCTTTGGCTTGCTGGAGTTCTTCGGTTAGGTTCTGGACGTTTGTCGCTTTTTCGGAGAGGTCATTTCTTAAAGCTTGAAGCTCCCAGTCTTTCTTTGAAGTTTCTCCCCCTGTTTCCTGGAACTTGAGGGGTTTTGCGGGGACTTCTTTCTTGGAGTTCAAAAGTTCTTTTTCGGCATTTTCAAATTCCTCTTCTATTTTCCTACATTTCATGTTAAGTTCTTCCAGTTCTTCATTCAAAAGATTCAGGCGAAGTTTGGGAGACATTCCTTCGGTAAATTTTTTCTTTATGTCTGGTCGTGGTAGGATTGGTAATTCCTTTGTACTCCAGGTAGAACGGTCTTCCGTGCTATTAAAGCTTTCTTCGGTCACCACATCCAAATTAGATGAGTCACAGGAGACAGAATTTGTGTCTGCTTCATTCTTTGAAAGGTTTATCTTTCTCTCTCTCAAATTTGGTTCTTGTTCTTTTTCGTTTAGTTGGGAAATACATTCTTTCCTCTTAAATTTATTTTCTTCTTGAAACTTTCTACTAGACAAATTAAAAATTCCTTCTATTCTATTGGCCTTATTTAAAGTCGTTTGTTCAGAAGAAGATTCAGGCTGAGAAGCCTCATCTAGAATATCCTGTGCACTAAAAAAAGGAGCAAACATATTCTCCTTCCAGTGTTTTCTTCTAGCGTCCATTTCTCCAGGTACGTCGTCCAATTCCTGAAAGACAAAATTTAAAATCAAGGCACACTCTTTACACTGGCAGCTGGTGTAATGGGGAGAGCTACTTGTTGTGGTGGTTCACAGGTGAAAGAACCTGTAGCTGAGGAAGGTCGCCCTCTAACTCACGGAGAGAGTTTCTGGTCCCTCTTTTACGAAATGAACACCAGTTAAGTTTCACGGACACTTCCGGCGCGCAGATTCTCCATTGCTACGCAGTGTAACCAATCAGTGGACACTTGGGGCTATTTACTGTAGAGAAGGCATTAGTATGGGAAAGCAACCGTACACACAAAAATGAACTGCTTCTCCAGAATCAAAGTGATTTCTTATTAACAGCTTCATCATATTAGTAGTAGGCGAATACCTGTGCTTCCCAGGCGCTTGATTTTTTTTTTTTTCTAGTTCTTTCGCACTGGACTATTTAGTCATTCTTTAAAGTGACTAAAACGTCAGGGCTTAATGCAATGTGAGCTGCTTTTGGTAAAGTATACCATTGCAGACTTCCTTCTGAGTAACTCTGCCAAATGCCCTTCTGTCTTGAAATTCCTGCTATTCCAGTCTTAGGCTTTGCTTTTAGACAAGACTGCCAATTGTACAGAATTCTACCCGTTTTGACAGCAACTTCATGATGAGAACCAAATGCCAACAAATGAAAATATTAACGCCATCGAATGTGTTCTTCTTGAGATACTGACTCCAAGCATAGTTTTCAGGTGGAAACATACCATAGCAAATCACAACCGACTTTCCAAGTTTCTAAAAACTAGAGGATATTTATTTGTTCCAAAAGGAATCTTCCCTATTCAAAGAGAATCCATGACACACAGCTTTCCTAGCATACGGAAATATCTGATCCAGTATAACTACTCCCAGGAGCAGAGCAGGGAGAAAGGAGGACCCAAGCACACACTGAAAGGCCGCTGACATTTGAAACCACCAAACTAGCAACTGCAGCGATTGCCAAAGAGGAAGAAAAAGGAGGGGGTTGCTTTATTCAGCTTATACATTCATTTGCTGCAATGTATTTGTAGCATCGCCGCTGAGAAAAATCAAAGTAGGCCTGCATCTATTTTTCCCATGCACATAAATACAATTTTATCTTGGCAACAGAGAATGGCAATTGCTGTGTTTCTTTTTTAAAGTAATATTTTCTTTACTACTATTAAAGATTATAATGTTATAATATCATTTAGTGTGTAACACATATTTATATAACATTTCATATAATATAAAGATTCTAGTAGTAGTGGAAGCTCTTTGTAGAATTTGGGAAAATACAGAAAAGCACACACACACACACACAAACAACAAAAGGAATCACCCTCATAATCCTATGGCTCTGAGATAACCACTTTTTGGCATATTATCTCTCCAGGATGTTTCTCAACAACAAGTAGTTTAGACGTTAGATTTCCCTTGCTATGGTGAGAGAGTAAACTTGTTATCTGTGTGTACTGAACATGCCTAATCCCACCCAAGAAAGAGGGAAGGACCTCGTTATCCCCAAGGGTACATTCCCCACTGGCATCTACTTGGTTCTGGGGAAAGGGAAAGACACAGATATCCAGTGAAGGTGTTAGAAAGATTGGTTCAAAAGCCATATAAACCAAGCTTTAAGTTTAGTTAACCAGACCACATTCATAAACAGAGATTTGAAATTCATGGTATTATGTTTGCCATTGAAGCATAATCTCCTTTCTCTTGAAATAGTCCTGACTTTTACTATTCTAGTAAATTACCACCCAGAAGCATCTATGCTCTATCTTTCCTTAAAGGGGAAGATCCTCCTAATCCTGGTTTCTCTAGTCCCTTAGAAATATGAATGCAAATGGCTGGGAGTTATCAGGGTGCTGGGAAGAGAAAAGAACAGAGGAAAGAGAGAAGACAGTGAAGCTAATTGCCAGTCACCTTTTATAGCATTCGCTGTTTCACCAGACAATTCTGTGAAAGATACAAATGCTTCTAATCAGGCAGCCATGGGAGACAGATTACTATTCCTCATACTTGCCTCTGGATTAAAGGCACTAGTGAGATTGATCGGGAAGGGGGGTGTGCAGGGGGCAAGTAAGGGGAGGCCACAGTATCCCTGGAGACAGTGATAACGAGAAATCTGAGATTGAGACCTGGGTACAGAGAAAGGTTAAAAAAGAAGAAAACTTTTTTCATTAATAATTTTGCACCTTGAGAAAGTGACTTCTATCTCCAACCCTCCCACATAAATCTCTGGCAAAAACATGTATGCATTTTTTTCTCTTCAATTTCGCTACCTTTCTTCCTTGAGCCTCTGTATCATTTCCTGATACAGTCAGTGCTTTTCAAAGGACTGGGAAGAGTCCATTTACTTTATAACTGAGGCTCAGAGAAGTCAGGTGACTTGACCAAGTCCACACAGCCCGTAGTGGTAAAACTGAGACCCTGATTCCCAGGTCAGTGTTTTGCTCTAAAATTCTCTTTATTCTTTAGCTGGTTTCACTCCACAAACTGAAAGAAAACAACCCACTACTTTCAGAGCTTAGGTACTTTTTTTAAATGGTCACAAAAGGAGTGAGAAAAAATGAAGGGGGGAGGGTAAGGAGAATTGCATGTCACATATCAAAGGACAGAAAGAGAAAGGTCTGAAAAGCCTTCTGGAATTTCCCTCCCATGGCTTACACAGGACAGGGTCAAGGGGTCTCTGAGCTGCCTGCCTGCCTGCCTTTCTTTCTTTCTCTTTCTTTCTTTCTTTCTTTCTTTCTTTCTTTCTTTCTTTCTTTCTTTCTTTCCTTTCTTTCTTTCTTTCTTTCTTTCTTTCTTTCTTTCTTTCTTTCTTTCTTTCTTTCTTTTCTTTCTTTCCTCCTTTCTCTCTTTCTCTTTTTCCTCTTTCATTGGCAAGTTATTCTTCAAGGGCTTGTTCCCAAATCTAGTCACAGAGTATGGCAATGCCCAGACTGGGGGGTAAAAGCTGCCAGTCTCATTTTCTCTTCCCAAACTGCACTGTTTGTTTTTTATGCAGAGCAAGTATGACATTAGTATTCTCTGGCAAGGACAAGGAATATGCTTTGAAACAATGACACTCCTCTACCCTGCCAGGGCAGCCATTTTGCTCTCAATAAACTTGATTGGGTAATAGGGCAAATCAAACCAGAAGCCATTACTGAAAGTATAAGCATGTGTTTTTAGTGGATCAATTGTGAGCGTTTATTACTGTAACTACCTACCCAACACTACATTGGCCACTGAAGGACTAAAGGGTAAGGGAAGGAGGTCCAAGAGAGATGAAAAATTTCAAGAAACAAACAAGCCAGAACACAGGAAAACAATCTGAAGTCATGTGGCAAAAAATAACGTTAATGGTCCTCTAAGACAGCAATCTCCCAGAAATCCTTGGGACTGCACTGTTAAGACAAGGGTGTCCGTAATACGGCTCCATCTACTCCCTTGTGCCTGACATAAATTAATAATAGACTCCAGATTGTTCTAGTTAGTGTCTCTCTGAAAACATCACCATTTATCCTCTGGTGACTTTCTTTTTTTGGTGGCAAAGTAGTAGGGCATTTGGGTGGAGAGTAAGGGATCTCCTGACTCAAGGAAGTGGTTTATATTCATTTAAGAATTTGGGAACCACTGATAAAAGAAATTGCAAATAAATGTATAATATAACGTGATGTCACATAAAAGAACTGTTCAGAGCTAAGCAATGATCATTTATTATGGATCTTCAGACAAACCATTCCATAAAAATCTCAGGCAAATACACAGCTACCCTCAAATAGCTCCAGAAAATAATGCACAGCTATTTGCTGTGAAAGGAGAAACCCACAAAACCATCTCATTTCCATTTTCAAGGTAGGGGGCCCTGGGGAATAGACTCATATTAACGTGGGTAAGTGGTTAACTATGTGAAATCTAATTATTTGTTTTCTAAAATATTCCTTTTTAAAATCACATGCTTTAGGGAAATTTGCTAAGCTAAAAATCAAAGACTTTTTTTTTTTCCGTTGCCTTATCTCATTTACATTGGAATTTGATTTCAAACTTTCAGGACCAACTCTTTTGCATAAATCTACATCTGTCTGCAAAATGCAATCATTCTTCCAGGCGGGGGTAGGCAAGGACTGGGAAAGAGTTCTGGAAAGCCTCCAGAGGCTTCCCCCACCCCCTCGCCCCGCCAGAGTGCTTCGTCGCAAACTTCATAAATTGGGAACGGCGGTTGCAAAAGGTCCTCTCCAACCTGGGATGGTCAAACTGCTGTCAGGGCCCTCAGCCCCCCAAGCCAGCCTCGACTAGAGGCGTGGCTTATAGTCACAGCTCAGGGGCAGCAAGGGGAAGACAAAGGGCCCTTCTTAGTGCAGGGAACTTTTCCCCATTATTCTTAGATGGTTTCAGTTCTTCCAACCCTCAGAAAAACTGCTTGGCCAAAATAAGGAAGGAGGAAAAAAAAAAGTCTGCTACAAAGAAAGTCACCGGCCTGGCTTCTTTGCTCAATTGTCTGATCTGTTCTCACTTAAAAGCAGTAGTTCTCGGCCCTTTTTTTCTGCCTCCACTGTTCCCAGGCACAAAGCACTACCATCATTACCGTCTCTCCTTATTGGAGAAAATTCTGGCCCCTCTAGGGGAACTTCTACATTGTCCACCCTCTTGAGAATCACTGGCTCACAGAAAAATGTTAAATACCAAAATGAGGACCCAAATGAAGTGCCCAAAGTCAGGGTGGGGGAACACGTTGTTAGCGTGCAGAATTGTGGGGACGAAGGAAAAGGAAGTTCTCATGAAAGGAATGGAGTGTGAAGATGATAGTGAAAGAATCTTGAGGGGTGGCAGACATCTTGACTCCCACACTTTAGAACAATGAGAAAATTACCTTTTGTGAGCCTCAGTTTCTCCAGGTATAAAATAGGGACAATGTATACCCATTTCACAGGTGGTTAAGAGAAATGAACAAAACCCTAACCGGAAGCAACTGTAAAGTCCCCTGTAAACAACAGGTTTTGTTCTTTTTTAGATTTTCCTTCCCCTCCCTTGGAACAGAAACCAGCCGGTCAAACAACCCAACCCTTCTCCAAAGAGAAGTGCTCCAAAGTTGCCAGCGGGAAGTTATCACACCCCAGAAAGAGTCAGCTTGGGGGGGGGAAATGTAGGTGCTATTAAAACAAGCAGTGAGGACCCTAAACTCAAATCTTATATTAATTTGGGGGAAAGTCAGCCCCAAATCCCGAAAGTGGCAGATGCCCCCACATTTCTGAAACCAAAGTGGTTCTAAGGTAGTCTTTTCCACAACTGAAGATATTTACATTTTATCTCCAGTTGCTTTGTCCAGAACTTTCCAAATGCCCCAGTGTTTTTCAGAGCCGCCAATAACTCCTTAGAAATATCACAGTTGGGAGTACCAGTTTGAAGATTAGCAAGGATGACTCTGCACTCTTTTGATTTTTTTTCCCAGGCTGCTCCCACAGCATTTCATCATACTTTTGCTTCACTGATACATTGTGATTTCCTGGCATCTTACTCATCTTTGTTTCTCTATACACCGTAGCCACCAACAAATATCTCTTGAATGTATGAGCCTTGATATTCTTTCTAAAAATTCTATAATGCTGTGATTCTAACCAAGTTTTTATACAGCCTTATAACTTCTCCACTGGTGTATGCAATAGTATTTTGGGGGACACGGTAGGAAAAGGACTTTTATTTTTTCCCCTCAAAGTTTATTTGGCTTAGTTAAAGCCCCCAGGACCCTTTCTCTTTTGTATTTTCATGAGGCTTTTTTGAGAGTGTACCGACAGTGCAGATTAACGATCTAGTTACGAGGTTGAAGACTTGATGTTGGGTGAGGCTCTGGGCTTCTGAACACCAACAGTAACAAGATATCAGCCTGCACAACTGTACTTACACTCTCCGACGTCCAAGGTCTTCTATCAGATGCCGCTGTTCTCCTTCTCCAGTTTGAACTGAAAATAAAATCCCCACAGCATAATTAGAAAATATAATTAACTAGAATGCCCAAATCCGTGTTTATATCCGAGATGCAGCTTAAAATGACAAGTGATATACTTAGAATGCCGTGTGGCCTATCTAAAATGTGATGCCAGACACTTTGAAGCAAGTTTTCTTTTTAACTTGCCAACCCACTTGCCCAACTGTTACGCCACCACGCCTTCCGTCCCCAAGCAGTGCAAATATCAAACAGGACAAGAATCATGGTGGTAGGTATTGCATAGGGTGTCTTCCAGCCTCCCAGCCTTTAGCACCTACTGAACAAATGAGCCACGGCTGGTGGCCGAGGGAGCATGCTTGTTATTAATGAGCGTGCCAAGAGCCACGTTAGCAGAAGGCTGGAGCCTAGGCCTTGCCTTCCTCCCCCAGAGTCCGGTTAATTTGTGAAATCGGTAAAAAAGGAAAGTGATCTCGATTTTTTGCTTCAATCTCTCAGGGTCCTAACATTTGAGCCAAGTGCTCACTTCACGGGACAGATTGTCTCCCCTATTGTTTGGCAGATACTGAGAGTGAAGCAAAGTACCGCTGAAAACTGGGCCCTGGAAACGGTTTTGACCCTCCAATTCTTTGTTATTGGTGTGAAACTATTCCTCGTACAAGAAAAGATACGGAGTCACCTTAATTCCAAAGGCTGAGTACTTTATTAGTATGGAAGTCACATTCTTGCTCTAAAGCTGTATCTGTGTATGCATAGTTTGGGGGTTTTCTCCGTAAATGGTTAACAAACTCCTGCCATCGCTGCTTCCAGTAGGGAGAAGGGGGCTCGGGTCTGGGCGGTCCCTCCCACCTCCCCTGTCCCTACTCCCTGGCGGGTGGAGTTGGGGGAGGTGGAAGGGACAGCGGGCGAGGCCTGACCCCACTCCTCCTTCCGCACCCCACTCCCACACCCTGTTCCCCTGGCTCCCCAGGCGCTCAGAGGAGAGCAGAGAGCTGCAGTGGGGGGGGTGTTCCCCGAGGTTGGGGCGGGGACCGGGTGTCTCGGCCGGGGGTCCCTCAGCGGGGTGTCCGGGGGAGCCCCGGCGCTCCCGCGCGCAGACGTACCTGGAGACGTGGGTGCGGTCCGGCGGGCCCTGGCCCCTCTTCCCCGAAGCCAGCCACCACCGGCGGGCGGCAGCCCTGGGCTCAGCACTGACCACCGCGACCCGGCCCGGCCGGCGCGGGATAGAGCCTCTGCAGTGCAGCGCCAGCGCGGGCCGCGCCGTTGCCTAGCAACCGGCCGGCCGGATTTAAAGGGACCGGGGCGCCGGGGCCCCGCGCCGCGCGCCGGCCGCTGCCTGCCGCCAGTCGGAGCCCGCCCGGGCTCTGAGCATGCCCGGTGGGGCGCGCACAGCGGGCGGCGGCGGCCCGCCGGCGACGGGAGCTCAATCGGCCGAGGGCTGAGTCCGGCTGGGAAGGGGCGAGAAAGTGCGAGGCGGCCCCACCCACCGTGGGCTTATTACGGAGGGTCTGGGTGACTCACAAAGCCACCTGGACTGGGCCACTGTGCGGGTCGGAAGGCGTGGCGCAGGGCTCATCCCCAGGCCTGCCGTTTCGCAGCCTGACTTTGGAGAGGGTTAGGTCTGGAAAGTGGCCTTGGTGCGCTTCAGGGTCCCTGACAATGTGGCAATGCACCCTGCCGCCCACCCCCACGCTCACCCCCACGCTCACCCCTGAGCCTCTGCACCTTGGTCTGGCCGGAATTTCTGCTTCTGGCCAGGGTTCTAAGGCCCCGTGTCGTGAGAGCATTGTCCCCCGTTGTGCCCCAGGGGGAGGCTGGGCTTGCGTCTCTCTGGTAGCTCAGGAACTTCCCCAAAGCACTGCTGAACCCATCTGAGCATGAAAATCTACTGGGGCACCCTCAGTCCTACACCACTGCTCTCTCCTAGCTTCAAAGTTTGCTCCCGACTTCCGGCATTTGACTGCGGGGCCGGGGGGGGGGGGGGGACAAGCCCATGTTCTTCATTATGTTAGAGACTCGAGTCCTGCATTTGGTTGAATAAATAAATGTTCTTTTCACACTGGGATTAGCCCGGTTGCCCGCTGCTGATTCTACCATCACTAAGTTGGTCACACACACTGATAACACACTGTGGCTCTGGTCCCATGTGGACCCAGCTGGGCCTGACCAAACGATAGACCCCGCAAAGGCTATGGGGCCTGGAACAGAGCGGGACTGGGGGGTTCAAGATTGTGATAACTGTGACTTTTAGGGGCGCCTGGGTGGCTCAGTCGGTTAAGGGTCTGCCTTCAGCTCAGGTCAGGATCCCAGGGTCCTGAGATCGAGGCCCACGTAGGGCTTCCTGCGTTGTGGGGAGGTTGCTTCTCCCTCTGCCTTCTCTCTCTCTGTCCTTCATGAATAAATAATCTTAAAAAAAAAAAAACCTGTGACTTTTAGAAAGGCTCCTCCCTATTTTCTAGAAATGAAACATTGGCTCTGAAATCTCAAGTGAAAGGTTTAAACACAGTTGGAAAAGGGACCGTCAAATTTCTCCAGACCCAGCAAGGGACTGATTTAGAAACAGTGCCAGGGGGTCGCCTGGGTGGCTCAATCGCAGGGTGTCTGCCTTCAGCTCAGGTCACCATCCCAGTGTCCTGGAATCCAGCCCCACATCGGGCTCCTTGATCAGTGGGAAGTCTGCTTCTCCCTCTCCCACTCCCCCTGCTTGTGTTCCCTCTCTAGCTGTGTTTATCTCTGCTGGATAAATAAAATCTTTATAAAAGAAAGAAAGAAAGAAAGAAAGAAAGAAAGAAAGAAAGAAAGCAAGCAAACAAGCCAGGATACATTTCGAAACTTCAAAACTTCTTGAGAACCGGATCTAACAGGTGTTTGGGAGCTGGTGAAGTTGTATTCAGAAGCCCCGAGGCCTAGTTCTCAGTCTCCTTTTTCCTCCTTAGAGAACCAGTGTCAACAAGGGTTTGAAGCAGGAAGAGGCCTAATGTCATGGGTGTTTTGTTACGGACCCTGTCAGAAGTAGTTTGTGGGATTCTGACAAAACCTCTTTTCTCCATACTAAGTCTCTACATTGCCTTGCATTTATCATTTCTGTTTTATTTTAAAAGGGTTGCACTTATTTTTCCTTGACATAGGATCCCTTATTAATGTACTAAAAGAATCTTAATAGCTCTGTGCCTCAGTTTCCTTGTTTGTACAATGGGAATAATAATTGTGCCTAGCTCCAGAGCATTGTGAGGATTAAGTAAATTAATACTTTCAAAACCTTTAGGGGCGCCTGGGTGGCTCAGTGGGTTAAAGCCTCTGCCTTCAGCTCAGGTCATGATCCCAGGGTCTTGGGATGGAGCCCTGCATCGGGCTCTCTGCTTAGCAGGGAGCCTGCTTCCTCCTCTCTCTCTGCCTGCCTCTCTCCCTACTTGTGATCTCTGTCTGCCAAATAAATAAAAAATAAATTAAATCTTAAAAAAAAAAACCTTTAGAGCAATGCCTGACACATAGTAACCCCTATATAAATATTTGCTATCAGTGTTAGTACTAGTCATCCTCTTTTATAAATTTATTACCTTCCTAAAAATATAAATATAAGCACACAGATGGTGCTAGCTTAGAGTGTGCTCTAGGAAGGGGATTCTGAAATCTCAAGACTCAAAATTCCAAATCTTTATTTCAGATGGAGTCCCAGACTCCCCATAGGCAACCCCACTCCACTCTCATATCCCTGAAAAAATGCACAAAGGGTTACTTTGGTCTTGCTGTATTTCTATTTTTAAATATGGTGGGTCACTTTTTTTATGTACTCAAAGTATCAAATGGCAGAAAATCAACAACAGAGAGGACAGAGAGTTCTGTACTCAAGGCTACTGCAGACTTGGAGATCGGTTCTCAAATATGGAAGGCAGAAAACAGTTTACTATCCTCTGGAAACTAATCAATACCAAGGCAACAAGGCACCTGGTAATAATAGAATCATACGGTCATAGGATGGAGCTCAATTTTCTTGTTTTACCAAGTAGCATGTTGAGACCTAGAGAAATAATGTGATTTACCCTTTGATCACACAGCAAAATAAGCTTCTTTTCACTTCCCTGATGAATGATCCTTGTTTGAATAGCCTCAAACCTGGGATATTTGAGGCAATGAAAAAATATACACTTATGGGTGTATATTGTATGTTGATAAGTATTTAAATTATTCAGGCAGAGAAGAATGGCCGACATTTCTTACACCCCATGACCTATACATTGGCAGATTCTGTTGGCTCTATCTTCACAATGTACCCAGAATCTGATGTTTCTCACCATCTCCACCATTACCACCCTGATCCTGGACCCCGCCATCTCTTGTCTAGACTGTTCCAGCGGCCTCCTAGCTGCTTCTACCTCTGTCCACTGTATTAGCCTCCTGTGGCTCCTGCATCAAAGTATCACAATCTGGATGGCTTAAAACAGCAGACCCGGTCTCTAACCGTGCTGGAGGCCAAAGACTGAAATCAAGGTGTGTGCAGGGATGATTCCATCCAGACACTCTGGGAGACAATCTGTCTCTCCTAACTTCTAGCTGTTGCTACCCATCTGTGGCCTTCTTTGGCTTGTAGACACATCACGCCAGTCTCTGCCTCTGTCTGTACATGGTGTTCTCCCTGGGTATCTGTGTGTTTTCATATAGCTGTCTTCTCTTTTTGTGTGTCTCTGTGCCCAAATTCCCTTCCTCTTATAACAACATCCGTGGGGCGCCTGGGTGGCTCAGTAGGTTAAAGTCTCTGCCTTCGGCTCAGGTCACGATCCCAGGGTCCTGGGATCGAGCCCCACATCAGACTCTCTGCTCAGCAGGGAGCCTGCTTCCCTCTCTCTTTGCCTGCCTCACTGCTTACTTGTGATCTGTCAAATAAACAAACAAAATATTTTTTTAAAAAAAGAACTTTAAAAAAAATAAGAACATCCATTAGTGAATTAGGGCCCACTTTAATCCAATATGACCTCACCTTAACTTCATTAAATCCACAGAAACCCTAGTTCTAATAAGAGCACATTCACAAGTACTGAGGGGTAAGAATTTGAGCTTCTCTTTCTGGGAGGGACACAATTCAACTTACAACACAGCCACCATCGACTCTCTACACACATCCAGAGAGACGATTATAAACCATTAAGTTAGATCATGTTACCACTTTGCTCAGGATTCTACAAAGGTTCTTAATTTTTCTTAGTGAGAGAGAGAAAGAGAGAGAGAATGAATGAGGGGAGGGGTAGAGGAGTGGGAGAGAGAATCTTAAGCAGGCTCTGTGCTCATCGAGGAGCCCAACGCAGTACTACATCTCACGACCCCAGAATCATGACCTGAGCCGAAATCAAGATGGACACTTAACCAACTGAGCCCCCCACATGCCCCAAAGGATCTCAGTGTGACTTGCAATAAAAATTAAAATCTCTATTTAACTACAAGATTTGCATTGAGAATCCTCCTAATTTCTCTCTTCCTTTTCTTAAATTTCTCCCAATGCCTGTTTATTCAAGTAATGATCGCTGTGCACATCAATGTGTCTAAAATTGGGCTATGTGCTAGATGTGTTCGGATAGCCAAATGTGATCAGTGCAGAGAAGTAAGTACTTACAAAATGAGGATGGGCTCAGGGCGCCTGGGTGGCTCAGTCAGTTAAGTGTCATGATCCCAGGGTCCCTAGGACTGAGCCCCAAATTGTGCTCCCTGCTCAATGGGGAGCCTGCTTCTCTCTCTCCCTCTGCCCTTCCCTGGTGTCCTCCTCCCCTACACCCTGCTTGCTCACTCTCTCTCTCTCATGCTTTTTCTCAAATGAATAAAATCTACTTAAAAAATTAGGATGGACCCAAATGAAGCAGTGGCCAATCAGATAGGTAAGGGGTTTGAGACAAGGAATTCTTTTTTTTTTTTTAAGATGTTATTTATTTATTTGGCACACACACACACACACACACACACACACACACAGAGAGAGAGAGAGGGAACACAAGCAGGGCAGGTGGGAGAGGGAGAAGCAGGCTCCCTGCTGAGTAAGGAGCCTGATGTGGGGCTCAATCCCGGGACCCTGGGATCATGACCTGAGCTGAAGGCAGATGCTTAACCCACTGAGCCACCCTGGCGCCCCTGAGTCAAGGAATTCTTAAGCCCCTTAGAAGCTGAACCAACTGAACTGGTCTGGAAAGATGACTAGTGCTCCTCCAGGCAGACAAAAGAAATAAAAGCAGAGGGAATAGCATGTACAAAGGCACAGAAGTGTGAAAGCGCACAACAGTTTGGAAAATCCAAAATAATTCAGATTTCTTGGAGCTTGAAGTGGGGGTAGTGGGTGGGGGAAGCC